AGATCATAAGAAAGGAAATTTTGGGAAAAAAATAGAGAGGTAAGACATTTGAGGGACACAGATATAATTTATTATTTGTTGATGAGGACATGTATAGTAGTCTCAACGGGGCTGGACGGAGGTGTATATCATGCTGGGTAAAGTCTCTTTACAATCTAAATGATGTATAGCGATTAAATGTATAAATAATAATAATAAAAAAAAGAAAAAGTAGGTTGTACTTGATTAGAATTTTGCAGAGGAAATGTGTGGTGGTAATGCACTGCTCAAGAGAGGCTGGATCCCACATGGCGACCGTGGTTTGAGCTCCCTACCAGGTGAGCCTGAAACATGCCAGGCATGCGCATGAGAGTCCGTAATCCAACAGGTGGAAGAAGGGAGGAAGAGTTTTATGGCTTGACCTGGTCCTGTGTTCACACCTTTTCTCTTTTTCTTTCTCTTGTACTCTGCCATGAATAAAGGGGAAAAAAAAAAACTGTACGAAGAGAGATTTGGAAGCTTTTCCTCATTGTTCTAAACTAAGTCATACTCTTGTAACAGACAGACCTTAGCCCAGGAAGGGCTGTATATTGGGAACAGAAATCCACCCCATGTATGGACAACAAATTCTTTTTTTTTTGGAGATGTTCTTGCTATAGGACGTGTTCGCTTGCCAGAAAGACAGAGAGAGACAGAGAGACAGAAAGCGAGGAATCACCCCCAGGGAGGATGGCCATGCTGCAATCCATTCTCCTCTTGGGATCTTGGGCACGCACATGCACAAGCACCCGACATGAGTTTAAGCCACCAGGTCTGGGACTCAAACTGTGGTTGACTACATGGGAGTCCAGTGACATAGCCAGTACGCCAGCTGCTGGTCCCGGACAAGAAGTTCTTTTTACAGCTCCTGAGAAGAACTCCAAGTTTCCCCTCCATAAATGCGTAAGATTCTTATCCTTTCCCTCCACCCAAATGTACGTCGCTTGAATAAACTCCATTACTTGTTGATTTGGACTGCCCATCAAACAGATTGAAACAAAGAAAACTCGGGCTTCTCTGCAAACCTTTGTTTGGGAATACCATCTCAGTGTCACTTCATCCCACCTTTTGCACACGGCTACTCATTGTCAAGGAAGTGGAGAGGCGCAGATACTTTGGGGAGTTCTATGCTGTTTCATGGGAAGCGCATTTCCTAAACTACTAACAAAGTAATTAAACAGTCAATTACTTTAGCTACAGTGAAATTGCATAGCTAAATTAATATAAACTAGGGGAAAGTGAAGACTTAAGACAACATGATTTCAGAGCCTACTTAATCCTTTAACAATCAATGAATTAGCCATTATTTCACAAAGGGGCCATTTTGTGGATCCAATTGGCAATGATTTTCTGTAATGGTTTTTCTGGAAATTCCACTTTCCATTTATCAAGTCAGAAATTTCAGATAGCCTATAAAGATGAGGGGACTTCAAAAAGTTCATGGGAAAATGGAAGTATTTTTTGGGTGCAAAAATTTTGCAAAACATTTTGAAATCTACGTACAACTTTTTCTTAATTTTTTTTCTTAATTTTGCCAGAGGATATGTATACTTGAGAGAGAGAGAGAGGTGGTGGGGGGGCAAGGAGGAGAGATAAAGCAGTTCTCCATGGGGAATGGCCATAATGTAATCTCTTCTCCTCCATGTCTTTCTCCTTCCAGAATTTTGGGAACGTACACACACATGGCTAGCGTACCTCTTAAGTCCTCAGGTCTGATATTTGCTTTTTTTTCCCCAATCTTTAGGGACATCTGTGATAGATATACATCGTCACATACAAACTTAAAAAAAACCTTTTAACATAATATATGGTACTGCAGAGAACTAAAATCCAACGTATTACATTGCTAAAATATTCATATAAATACTACATATGCGTGGATTCACTCCATTAGAAAAATTCGATATTAAAGGCCAGTATCAGCAAATCCTAAAGGAAAACGATTCTAACAGTAGGAACACTAAAACCACTTTGTGGTTTATAAACAAGTGGTGGGAAAGGGAATCCTTTACGTTTTCTATTATGTCACAACAGGCACAATCTGAAATACAATTAGGGACTGGCAGTATATAAAAATATCTTTTTAAATAATACTTTTTAAATTTTTTATTTATTTATTTTTGGAGAGATTTTTGCTATAGGGCACGTGTGCTCGCCTGACAGACAGACAGAGACATAGAGCTAGAAAGTTGTACGTAGAGCTAGAAAGCACGAAATCACCCCCCAGGGGGGTGGTCACACCACAATCCCCCATCCTCCATTCTCCTCTCGGGATCTTGGGCATGCATGCACACGCGCCCGGCGTGAGTTTTAAGCCACCAGGTCCAGGACGCAAACCGCGGTCGACTGCGTGGGAGTCCAGCGACACAGCCATTACGCTAACTGCTGGTTCCCAATACTTTTGATATAATAGCACTTACAAAAACAGCTAGGTAGTTATTCCTTCTGAAGACCCACTAAAACAATTCAACTTACTGCCCCCAGCTAGCTTTTAAAGCACTAATCTGGAAAGCAGGTTCTCACACTTGTACACACCATGTGCACTTCCACGCACCTGCAACCGCACAGTAATATAACCTCCTACATCTACAGGCATACTGATGAGTCAGTGATAGTCATCAATCTCAAACAGGGCATGAGAAGAGGATGTTTGGAGCCTGCTCCAGGTTTGGGATGGATGAACAGAGGCAGAAGCAAGGTGGAATCTACATGTGTTGTTTTTCATTCCACTAGTGGGCACTCCCTGGAAGAGGAGTTTAATCTGGCATATCAATATTTAACTTGGGAGGCGGGGGGGGACATATTTTCTGGGGCTCTTGAGTGATAACTACCCTGGCCTTCTTTCCAAACATCGGAGCAATTTTTGGAGCTTCTGGAACTGGTTTCTCTTCAGCATCTTCACTATCTTCATGATGGAGATCATACGATATGTTCCCATATTCTCTTAAAAATGGGAAAACTTCAAGCAGAAACTGGCAGAAACCTCTGTGAACACCGAACCACCAATGATTGCTCCCCTTCCGCCTAAAGGTCGTGGCCATTAAAGTTATCAACGAAAGCCAAAGGGGGACAAACATGGAGATATAGGAGAACGTATTGTGGCCAACCAATCTGTGCACCAGCAGGACCACAAGCAGGGGCACGACAATCGTTATCCAGCTGATGGCCATGGTCATGTGTTTTCTCCGCTGTTCCGCAACCACATCCGGGGACCTCAAGAACAGCAAGGACCAGACGATGTAGTAGGGGACCACCAGGCATAGGAACGACATGAGGATCCACAGGGGCACGAACACCACCAGCCATGGCCAGTGGATAATCCTGTCCAGCCTTAGGGCGATGAAGAAGAACTGCAGGATGTTCACCGAGCACAGGATCTCCAGCTCTAGCGACCTATCATGCCGGAAACCCCAGACACAGGCGGCCACAGACACAGGGGACACAAAGAAGAGTGGCATGAAGACCAGCAGCCAGAAGTGGGTGCCTCTCTGCACGCTGTCGCAGACCAGGACCTTGAACAGGAGCAGTAGCAGGTGGATGCCCACAGCGATCAGCATGGCCTTGAACTCCATGCAGGCCTCCCCTTGGTGTGGTAGCGAGGGTTGCAGGCCCAAACGCCAGCGCCCACCAGGGCACCCCCGATGGCCAGTAGCTTCCACGACCATATAGGAGCGAAGGCGGCCCAGTAGCTCCGCTGGATGATGCCGACCAGGCGGAGGGGCAGCAGCTCTGAGAAGAGCAGCAGGCAGGCGTAGACGAGGAACTTGCTCGGGTTGAAGTCCTGGAACAGACCCCTGGGGTTCATGGCAGAGGGCTTGTTCCTCCGCGACCCTAGGCGCCTGCGTCTTCACCCCGGGGCTGGGGTCTGCCCTGCCCGGACTCTAGGTGGACCTCGGCCGGGGCAGCCGGGAGTAGCTTCCGAGCGGCGGCACGGAGAGGCCAGAACACGTGCGTGTGCGGTCATGTGTCCCGGTAGAGGCCAGAACACGTGCGTGCGCGGTCATGTGTCCCGGTACAGGCCAGAACACGTGCGTGCGCGGTCATGTGTCCCGGGAGAGGACAGAACACGTGCGTGCGCGGTCATGTGTCCCCGCCAGAAACGCTAGGCGCGGCGTCCACCAGTGGGGGGCGCTGCTTCGGCCTCGCAGCCGTGGCCGCCACTGCGCTGGGGGACCTTGCCACTCGCCTTCATTCGGTGCTCATCAGGGAGGCCCCTACTGCCCTCGGCCCTCCCGTCAGGGAGGGCATGGGAGCGCTGCCGACTCCCAGGCCGGCCCTGTTGGCAGCGAGTAGGCCACGACCTCAGGCGGATGCTTCCTGAAGGCGGCGCGAATATGGAGGCGGGAGTCCTCAGGTCTGAAATTGGCACCATTGTGGTTGGTCTTGCAAAATCCAGCTCCCCTAACCACTGGATGTGGAGCTGACACCATGGTTTTCTCATCGTACACATTTTCCGTGAACTTTGTGAAGGCCCCGTGGATAGTTCACCTGTGGGGATGTGCTCATTTATTTCTTTTTTAGTTTATTTATTTGTTAGAATTATTTTATTTAACTATTTATTTATTTTAATTTGACCAGAAAGGGACAAAGTGAGAGAGAGAGAGAGAAAATGAGAAAGAAAGTTGCCAGGTCTGGGACACGAACCCTGAACCACTGCATCACCTGCCTACCCCGTGCTCATTTTATTTCTGGTTTTGACAAGAATGGACATATTTTGGAAAAGCATAAAGATGCTCACTTTCAGGGCCAGCCTTCCAGTCTAGTGGTTAAGGAAGCCGGATCTAACATGGCCACCTGTAGTTCGAATCCCAGCTGTGGTAGCTTGAAAAACGCTCGGAGAGTGTGTGCCCAAGATCCTGACAGGATGGAGAAATGGAGGAGAAGGAGTTGCAGCGAACAGTGCCCCATTGGGGGTGTTTTCTTCTTCTCTGTTTCTTTGGTTCTCTCTGGGGAGTGCATGTGCCCTCTGGCAATTAAACAAAAATGCTCACCAAAACACTGGGAAGGGTACTGACGTAAGCTCTTCAGTGCTATGGGTGCCCTCACAAGAATTTACTGGAATTATGAAGGGCAAGGAAAACCTTCAGGACTCCAACTAAGGCTCAATCGTAGAACTAGAGTAGGCCAAGACTAACATAATTGACTATTTATATAGACATGTCTTTCAACCCTCATGGTTCATTCATTCTAAGTGAGCTAAAAGCTGTCCAGGTCGAGGCATAAAGAATAAGGTGATTTCGATTGACTTCTGAACAATTAGTGAAATTCGAACACCCCGTTTTTGGTACCAGTGAGTTCTCTCAGTAAGTGCCTAAAACAATGGCTGGAAGTTTACCTTAGATTTTTTTTTTTAATGCCAAAAGGCTTGCACTTTGTGTGTGTGTGTGTGTGTGTGTGTGTGTGTGTGTATGTGTGTGTGTGTGAGAGAGAGAGAGAGAGGAAGAGAGAGAGAGAGAGAGAACTCCCTCAATGGGGCAGTGGGCCTGGTCTTGCCTCAATCCTTTCACCTCCAATTCCCATTCTGTTAGGATGCTGACATGTTTTCCAAGCCTCTGGGGCTGGGACCCAAACTCTGTGCTATGGGGCTGGCCTTTCTGAGATTTTTAAGTTACTCAGAGCAGGGGTGGGGCTGCTGACTTTGGGTGCCTTTAGACCCACTCTCTGCCCCCTGGAGGGCTTGGGACCTGAGAAACAGGACCCTAACAACAGGCTCCCTTCTCTGGCCTTCTTGCGGGAGTCAGTCAATGGGAGGCACCAATGCGAGCCCGGAGCGTGGAGGACAGGGAGGTCCGGGCTTTGTCCCTGCTGGGATGTGCTGGATTGACATCCTCCAGCCTCCCCTGCCTCTTCAGGGGCTAGCGGCTCCCAGTGTTGCTAAACCAGGGCATTTCTCTCTGTTTTGCTGGTTTCCCTAGCATCCCTGTAAATAGCCTCTTAATGAAACTCCCCTCAAATCACCAGTTAGGCTGTCCCTCTGTCTCCTGGGTGCTGACTGGTTCCTGTTGGGCTCTGAGCTTTACACATAGCACAGCATGCGATAAAGGCTTGTTTAATTCAGTTACGTGGAGTGGTTGAGCTATTCTAGTTTTTCTTTTCTTTTTTTTCTTAAAGGAATTATTTATTTAATTTTATTTATTCATCCATTTATCTTAATTCGCCTAGAGAGCGACAGAGAGAGACAGAGAGAGAGAGAGAGAGGAGAGAGACAGGGAAGTGAGAAAGCAAGCCACCAGGTCCAGGACTTGAACCATGGTCAGTCATGTGGGGAGTATCCAGGGCCTTAACCACCATGTCACCTGCTAGCCCCCTAGTTTTTCCTTTTTATCCCCTTTCTTTTAAGAATTATTTAATTATTTCCATCGGTTGTTATTATTATTATTTCTATTTTGACCAGAGAGAAAGGGAAAGCGAGAAAGCAAGCCACCAGTCTAGGACTCGAACCACAGTTGGTCATGTAGGAATCCAGTGTTTTCAACCACCATGCCACCTGCTGGTCC